TTGTAGTACAGACAAGCCAAACCTTTCTGATGCCAGTAGATCCTGAAGACTTTTAATATGTTGTTCTTTTTCTTCTATGCTTTTGTACAGCTCTTGCATTGTATCTTTCCGATCCTCTTCCATTTGGACAAGTACATTTTCTTTATCTTTGGTATCCTTAAAAACAAAACATGAAGAATGCCATTAAAATATTATGTGTTTTAGTTTCCTTAAGCCTCATGCTTAAGGTTTATCATTGGCCTAAGCAAAAGGATTTTTAAGCACAACCCTGAGAATGGAAAGTACTACTGAAAGATTCTTCTGTGCTGGTTTGGGTTGAAATAGAGTTAACTTTCTTCACAGTGGCTAGTATGAGGCTATGTTTAGGATTTGTGCAGAACACAGGGTTGATAATGCAGAGATGTTTTTGTTATTGCTGAGCAGAGCTCACACAGAGCCAAGGCCTCTCCTGCTTTCCATACTGCCACACTGGCAAGGAAGTTGGGGGTGCATGGGAGATTGGGAGAAGACACAGCTGAGACAGGTGACCCAAACTGACCAAAGGGATATTCCATACCATAGGACATCATGCTCAGTATATAAGGTGGGAGGAAGAAGGAGGAAGGGGGCACATCTGGAGTGATGGTGTTTGTCTTCCCAAGGAACCATTATGTGTGATGGGCCCTGCTCTCCTGGAGATGGCTGAACAACTCCTGTCTGTGGGAAGCAGTAAGTGAATTCCTTGTTTTGCTTTGCTTGTGTGTGCAGCTTTTGCTTTCTCTATTAAACTGTCTTTGTCGCAACCCATGAGTTTTTCTAGCTTTTACCCCAATGGTGGGGCAGTGTGTGAGAGGCTCAGTGGTTCTTGGTTCCTGGCTGCAGTTAAACTATGACACTCTTCAAACTCAGTAACAAATATCCAAGTGCCTAAATGGTGTGCCACTCACTCCAGAGAGAAAGGAAACAATGGCTGTCTCAAACTCCAGGAATTTTAAATAAAAGTCAAATATCATCAAGAGCTACAGACATCTCCCCACCTCATATCCACCTGCACAGAGAAAACACCTCCCAGAGGCAGGAATATGGTAACAGCACAGCCATGTCAACTTTTTACTCATCTGACTCATCTAAACATTTAAGACTTTTATGTAAGGCATTGCTGGTTATGTTCTTAAAGAAAATCAGAGCCTTTAAGCTGCTCTCTTCATGTATGTGAGTAATCACAATCCCTACAAATTTCTAAAGAGACTTTTTTCATGATTGTGCCACTACAGCAGGTCTGAGTTATCACCACATCTGAGATACATGTTACAATGAAACAAGGACCTGTTATTACCATTTGAGAAGACTCCAGCTGCACTTCCAGGTCATATGCTTTCTGACACAGCATCTCCAAGCGTGCATTTTGTTCTCTGAGACAATTCTGAAACAAGGACATTTGCTGCTGAGCTTCTAATCCTTCATTTTTCCTGAGGCTTTCACTTCTCAGTATCTCATTAACCTGAATGCAGAAAGGTCCTCACAGTCAGAAGAATGTTTACATCCAAACTACAAGACTCACTGTATGCACAAAACACACTGTATTCATTTGCTACAGATTTACCCTACACCTTCTATTCTCAATGAATAAAAACCTCCCCTAGAAAGTCAGAAAACACTTGTCATGTTTGGATGCTCTCACTTACTGTAAAGATATGTGAACCTATAAATCTAAGAGAATGAATCACATGAACCTCCAGTATGAAGCAGGACTTCCAACAAACTGGACATCCCAGCAGGAGGACAATAAACAAAACCAGTCTCCTCTGCAAAGGAGTTACAGCTCAGTGCTAAAGGTTGTTTTTTTCTTCTCTCCACATCCCTTCAAATGAAAAGCAAACACTATCCCCATGGAGGTAACATAGAAGGTGCTTTATTCACTTTTAAAGCCTTTTTCTGAAGGTTTTGCTAAAGCCCAGAGACAATACTTAAGGCAGTATTAGAGCTTTCATCTGTTATCAGAGTTGACATGCTTCCATAAACAACATGCTTCCTATCACCAGACTTATTTAGGGTATGCCCAAAGTGCTATTTAGAGACTTTATCCTCATCTTTCACTGGCTTATGGAGCAAACCCCAACAAACACCTGCAGAATAACTTTACATCAGCGCATATTTTGACAACAGCAATCAGAATTGTAAACAGAAACAGTATTTTGCGTTATTGTACAAAATTTCATTTAGGAGACGATTTCTTGTCCAGGGCATGAGCAACTTCAAGATAATCCATGGACTAAAAAGTCCCAGGTTTTAGCCTTAATTTTTTTAAACCTTTCTTCTCCAGACATTTAAAACATATAATCCCTCCTAGGGCAATTCTTATCCTGCAAATCTGAAATGGTAAGTAGACAGAAATATTTTTTTGGCATACACTACAGGGTTCCAAAGACAACATACACAGAGGTTTAGAAAGAACAGCCGCTGGAACACTGAGCATCACCAAAAAGGAATAAAGCAGTTTTAACAAACAATTTAAAGCAGATGAAAGGCTGCAGTTTATCTCACTACCCAGGGATTAGACCCATGATCACCCTGTTGCACTGAAGCAGGTTCCTATGTGTCAAAGGGGCTGCACCAACTGTCTTCAGGCTATCTTAAATCTCCTTCTTTGAGCCAAGTCACATTACCTCAGCACAGCAAGTTTCTGTCTCACCACTGAGCTGTTCCAGCTGCCCAAGCATAAACTCAGAGATCACAGAATCATAGAATAAACAGGGTTGGAAAAGACCTCCAAGATCATCAAGTCCAACCCTACCATGGTTACTAGACCATGGCACCAAGTGCCACATCCAGTCTCATCTTGAAAACCTCCAGGGACGGTGAATCCAACACCTTCCCGGGCAGCCCATTCCAAAGCCTGATCACTCACTCCTTAAAAAAAATCTCTTCCAATTATCTAACCTAAACCTCCCCTGGCAGAGCTTGAGTCTGTGCCCTCTTGTCCTGCTGCTGGTTGCCTGGGAGAAGAGACCAACCCCCACCTGACTCCAACCTCCTGTCAGGGAGTTGGAGAGGGTGATAAGGTCTCCCCTGAGCCTCCTCTTCTCCAGGCTAAACAACCCCAGCTCCCTCAGCCTCTCCTCATGGCACTTGTGCTCGAGTCCCTTCACCAGCCTCATTGCTCTTCTCTGGACCCGCTCCAGCACCTTAATATCCTTCCTGAACCGAGGGGCCCAGATTTCTTTGGCAAAGGAAAAATTACAACATGCAAACCCAAATTATTGCACCATTGTTGTGTACAGACCCCAAATCAGTAACAATGTTGTAAAAAAATTCCCTAGCAAGGGCTTAACTGATGGACAAAAAAGTGTAATGACCTATCAAACATTACACTAGTAAGTGGAAAATATGAGGATATCTCCGGGACTTCTTCATAGCAACTGGAAAAAGCTCTGCCTCGCCCTGAAACCCTTTTCACTGCTGCACCACGAACCAAACTATGAAGAGCTACATGATCAGATCAGTATGTTGTTACATTCATGTTTTCACATGTCTCTTTGTAAGGAAATACAAATGGGAGGAGAGACTCACCTGATGTAACTGAGGCTGTAAATCATGGATCTGACCAGTAATGCGTGACGCCTCTTCCTGTAGGTCATCCCGGTCTTTCTTTGCCTGTTGAAGCTTCCTGATGATTTCACTCCGTTCTTGAACAGTCATTTCCTACAAGGATCACAAGTGCACTTTCTCTTAACCTATTTGGACCCAAGTTTCCTTGAGGCAAAGCTATCAAAGTCTGTAGTTACACTTCGGTTTGAACAAATTTGCACCCAAGGACCAGAGATCTTTGTGTTCAAGGACAGTGTCGGGTACGATCAAAGGGGACTCTTACACTGATCTCAAAGATGACAAAACCTAATCAAAAGTGACTTTTTTTAACAAATTATAGGACATCAGTAATGAAATAAATATTTTTACTTAAAAATCTGTAGCACTTATTGCAATAAAAGCAGTCAAGTTCTCAGAAAGTTCATAATGAGTACTTAGTAACCCCTAAATTGTTTCCTGTCAGCTCATCCCTCCTGTCATGTCGGAGAAAGCTAATGAGATGGGAGACGACAATCCCATTTTATGCTAATCACATTAACCTTTTGAATTCATTTCTCACCAGCAGGAAATCTTTGCTTCCCCAGTCCTAGAAGGAGGGAAACTACATGTAAAGGGGGAATACCTATTCCTAGAAAGCACCAGGTGATAATTCACCTTTACATAGAACTGCCAGAGAAAGGGAATCCAAAACATTATTTTGCAATACTTTGGGAGAGGATGCTGCTTTTTGCAGTATCTGTCAGCAAGGCAAAGTACTTCTCACTAAAAACCAATACTTTTCTTTACTTTTACCTGCTAATTTTTAGGATTACAACAAAATAGTATTATCCCACTCTCTATTCCCATGAAACATACCTGAAGCTGCACAGAATCATTGTGCTGGGTGAGTTGGTCCTGCAGCTCGTCCATCTGTGCAGTGAGTCTCTCCACTACTCCCTGTTTCTCCAGGAGTCTGTTCTCTAGCTCAGCTATCCTCACCTGGCATATCTTGGCATCAGCCTCACTGTACTCTGCAGCAGAGTTTATCCCATCTTTCTTCAGAAAAGACACAAAAATGTATTTATTCACTAAAACAATATACCACTTCTGGTTTGCAATCAGCCTGGATATAAATTCAGCTTTGAGGTTAAGTTCCGGGCAAATTCTAGTTTACGAGTAATTCAGCAGTAGGAGTTTCTATTTAAGAGAAACTGTATACACATAAATTCCTTAATTGTCAGAGATTTCAAATAAAAAAGCTCATGGATAATATTTTCACATGACAGTTTAGGGCACAGAAGTAAATTAAGAGTGTTGTCATTCCGTAGCACCAAATGGTGGCAAAATGCCATTTTGGCAGGTACTGAGATTTAAAACACATTCCAACTAACTGGCTGGGACCAGGGCAGGACACAACACTGCCAAACTGAAACAAAGTTTTTGCATTTATCCGTGTTGACTGAAGAACAGTCCACCCACGGGAAAAATAACACACAGTTCTTGAACTAAAACTAAATTCCAGTGGTTTCTCAGGAGCAGCACTGTAAGAATTCTCACAGAGTATCTTGTACTTTAAATCCTTTTTGGCTGCACTGTATGAAACAGTTAAGAATGAACCTACTTTTCAGTTAGAAATATCGTTCAAATTTCTCTGGACAAATCTGCATTTTCCCTGAAACCACTTTTCTTAGTAACCAATTTCACAGGTACATACAGACAAGTATATAAAATAATGAAATCCAATCAGATCGATCATATTTGATAACAATGCTCAATCAATCATCTTAGCAGCCAATTATCATACTCTTCTTTCAAGTCTATACAGCATCTTTTATAAACATACATCCTGTCACACTTACTTCAGCTGCCTGGTCATTCAGTGCACCCCAGTGGGACAAGTCAGCACTGCCCTGGTAAGGAAACAAATGACACAAACACTAAACCATGGTCATTTTAAAGGAAAATAAGGAAAAACAAGGAGTAAAAAAGGAAAATAAGGAAAAGCAAAATTATTTTGGAAACAGCCTAGAATCAGAGAATAAATCACGTTGGAAAAGACCTCCAAGATCATCAAGTCCAACCCTACCGTGCTTACTAGACCATGGCACTAAGTGCCACATCCAGTCTCATCTTGAAAACCTCCAGGGACAGTGAATCCAACACCTCCCTGGGCAGCCCATTCCAATGCCTGATCACTCCTGCTGTAAAAAAATCTCTTCCAATTATCTAACCTAAACCTCCCCTGGCAGAGCTTGAGTCTGTGCCCTCTTGTCCTCTTGCTGGTTGCCTGGGAGAAGAGACCAACCCCCACCTGACTCCAACCTCCTGTCAGGGAGTTGTAGAGGGTGATAAGGTCTCCCCTGAGCCTCCTCTTCTCCGGACTCAACACTCCCAGCTCCATCAGCCTCTCCTCACGGCACTTGTGCTCGAGTCTCTTCACCAGCCTTGCTGCTCTTCACCCTAAACACATGAGTCAGAAAGGTCCTGCTGGGAGAGAACCTACCAGTGAGAGAGACTGAGTTCAATGCTAAACTCAGCTGATCTTCCAAAGGGAAATAAATAGGAAAAAAAATTTAGTATGAATGTCTACTTAAATTTAGGGCTAAGCCTCACCACTGAGATTCAATGATTGGTCCTCTGCTTTTGTGGCTGAAAAATACAGTTGAGCACTCTTTAATCTACTACTACACATTAGTAAAGTCACAGGAGATTATTTAACAAGCATGCTAAAACCATTTAGATGACTATAAAAGCAATACTGTTTTCTGCCATTATACTTAACATAGCTTGAGGTCTTGAAAGATGTTTCCTTCTCACTAAATTCACAACAAGAGCAACATGACTGCAGCACTGTTTGGAAAAGGCAGCCCACAGCCCCCCCTGTATTTTGAACCTGCATGAGTAGTTCCCAATGATTACTGTCTCCCTGGAAGTGCCCTCTCCAGGTAACCTAGAATTAATTCTTGTTGATTTACAAACGAGCTATTTTGGCAAAAGCTGTTTAGAAGGCCTAAGCTATTTTTGCTTGGTTTTTAAGGTCACTGCTGTAGCTGAGTGACAAAACACTATGTTTTCCCTCAGTGCAGACATCTCAGTGTGTAACTTCATAAAAGCCTTGGCAACACTAACATTACACTGAGGATTCCCTGAAAGCATCAGGGATACCCTCACAACAGAAAGCAGGACATGCAAACTGTACCCTCCATTACTGCATGTTTGCAAATACACTAGTGTTCAGTTCTGGGCCCCTCAGTTCAGGAAGGACATTGAAGTGCTGGAGTGAGTCCAGAGAAGAGCAACGAGGCTGGTGAAGGGACTCAAGCACAAGTGCCATGAGGAGAGGCTGAGGGAGCTGGGGCTGTTTAGCCTGGAGAAGAGGAGGCTCAGGGGAGACCTTATCACCCTCTCCAACTCCCTGACAGGAGGTTGGAGTCAGGTGGGGTCAGTCTCTTCTCCCAGGCAACCAGCAGGAGGACAAGAGGGCACAGACTCAAGTTCTGCCAGGGGAGGGTTAGGTTAGATATTAGGAAGATAATTTTTTACGGAGAGAGTAATCAGACATTGGAATGGGCTGCCCAGGGAGGTGTTGGATTCACCAACCCTGGAGGTTCTGAAGACAAGACTAGATGTGGCACTTAGTGCCATGGTCTAGTAACCATGGTAGGGTTGGACTTGGTGATCTTGGAGGTCTTTTCCAACCCGGTTCGTTCTATGAGAGTGCCACTGAGCTAATACCCACTTAAGGAAAACAACCACCTGGAACACTTGTTATCTGCAGAGTGAAGTGAAGGCAAGAAATACTAAGATTTACCTCTGTCTCTGTTGTGGTCTCTAGTAGGTTGGTGTCTTCAGCCTTACTGTCTATGCCCTTCCCAAGCTCCTGGGCCGCTACGGCATGCTCTTCCTTCGGAACGTCATGCGTGTGGACAGCCGAGCCCTTCCTCTTCGCCGCCTTTTTCTGCGACTGCGTGACGTCGCTCTTTGCTTTTCGCTGTCTGAAGTAAGCAAACTGTGCAGAAAAGATTGGAAGAGGTAGAGGGAGAGGTAAGCAAGGAAGAAGTAGCAGGACCACAAGATTAACACACTCATAGGTGATGAAGATCCTGTCTTGATAAAATATATACATCTGCAGAAAAACTGCTTTATCTTCCTACTTTCCACGCATTCACAACATACTGGATAACTGTGCATTACGCAACAAATCTCACACCAGTACTAAAAACTCATTTCAGTACAAGAAGCAAATTTTACTCAGTGAAACTTTGTCAATGACAATCCAGAATTACAGTGAGACGTAAAGGAACAAGTTGTCAATATAGTAGAACTGGTAGGAAAAAAGGAATAATTGAGCAGCTTTTCTGCACAACCAGCAAAAACAAGAACCCCCTTGTTGTGGTGCCAAAACCAGCACACCCCTACAAATATATCTAAACAGATCTTTGCCAGCGTAAGCTTTGAGATTAAAATTAACGGAAGTGAATCCTCGTGCTCCTTCCCTGCCACCCGCTTAAGAGAATACAGCCAAACTTCCTCACCAGAAAGCAGCCTCCAGTACATAAATAGAAAATCAATTAAGCCAGGTCATTTTAAATTCTTCTGCTGAAGAATTGGATGCTCTACTTTATCAGGTTATCACCGCTCTACAAAGCACCAGGGACTTGTAAAGAATGTCACTGACAGAATTTATTACCCAACTCTCCCTAGCACCTTAAACAGCTTAAAAAGGATTATTGTTATTTTCAACTCTAGTATTGTGTTTAGGCAGCATTTCCAAATAACACCTCCCTCACAGATTAAACCCAGGCATCCTTCTCATAAGGAAAAAGCCTTCTCCAAGATTAAAACCATAGATTATCAAGTGCAGTGATGTGATAAAACAGGCAGTTGAATGATGACAGGTGTAAACATCATTGCCAAGTTCTACCTGCAATACACTGCTTGGCAGCTTGGTTTACCTCTCAAACAGCACCTTGCAGGAAAATCTTGTCCATTTCTTCTTATTCAGTTTGTAAAATGATCTAGTTCAGTCCCCTCTCCTTATAGCAACTTCTGTCTGGCAGTTTAGCTACTCAACAGGCACAGTTACACACCTGCTACACCAAGCAGCCTGTTCAAAAGGTGAATTTGCAGAGAGATATCTGCTTCTTACCAGCTGATAAGATGCTTATGTGCAAATAGTTTATTTTTAGGATCACCTTCTGTAATTTCTGTAGTTATTAATACTGAATGCAGATTAAATAAAGATTGCCAGATGTCCTGTGCCTTTCGTAATAAACAGAATTAACAGATCAATACATAAAGCTGCACTGAGACACAAACTATTCTCTGAAATCAGGTGCTAACTCTAGCAGTTGCTGATGGCAATATCTGTTAAAAATAGCTATTGCACTAATTATCCTGATAGCTTGGGGAAACGGGGCAGGAGGAACCTGCAGAAAAATGGAGAGTAGAGGAAACCAGTGAAGGAGGGAAAAAAGGAAGATAGGATAACATAACCCAAAAACATGAGAAAGGAAAGGCAGAGAGAAAAGACACCAGAGAGAGCAGCTAATGATCTCATGGAAGGAAACCAAGCATCTGTTACTAAAATGCCAACACTTGGCATGACTGAATAAGTAACCACTATGAATTTTTAAATGCACAGCTCAAAGAAAACAAAACTGATTTTGTCCTGTTCATGTGCATTAAACATGTGAAATCATTATACATCTCCTGCAAAAAGATCCAACTACACCAAAACAGATTAGATTAGATATCAGGAAAATTGTTTTTACCATTAGAGTGTTCAGGCACTGGGATACTGCCCAGGGAGGTGGTGGAGTCACCATCCCTGGAGGTGTTTAAGAGGAGTGTGGATCTGACACGGAGCACATGGTTTAGGGTTTAGGGGTTCCAGGAGTCACAGGTTAATGGTTGGACTTAATGATCTTAGAGGTCTCCTTCAACCTTGATGATTCTATGAAACTTTTATGGAACTACTGGAGTGGCTGGAGTCAAAAACACACTCCAGATTTATGGAATCACTGGATGGGGAAAAGCTCTACTTAGAGCAATATTAGATTTCCAAAGCCTTAATCAACTATGTACATTTAAGTGTCATTATAAGAGCAGATCAGATTCACAGACATCCAACACAAAGTAGTGAGATCTGAGGATCTAACTCTCCCTTTGCTTTCTAGAAGCATGTACAAAGGTGAAAGCTTCACTTTTAGCCAAGATGTAGCATGCCACAGGAACCCCAACAGCACTGTCCACCATGGCATCCAAAGTAGCTCTCCACAGCAGAACTCCTTTCTAATACACTGGTACCAACACACTGCAACTTCATTTCACCAGGATCAGTCAGTTAAGCAGCCACCCTGCTTTATGTGCCTCAGAAATTAGTAACAAAAGCAAAACCCATAGAAAATGGAATAGAAGAGAAAACCACATCAGCACCAAACAGAAAAGGGTTGTTCAAATAAACCTTAGTCAAGCTCCTGGATACAGCAAACATAAGCAAAGAGGGCTCTCAGACAAAACCTAGAAATATTTCCTACAGCTTCCTCAAACTGATGAAGAGAGCAAACTTCCTGGAAAACGTGAAGTCCTTTTTTTGAGCTCCTAACATGTAAAATGCAAGAAGAGCAAAAACTTCTCACATGTGAGCTATTGCCATAGCTTGCCTTGAGCTCTGTAACTAGAGGCACAGGTGGCCAAGATGCAGACCAGCTAATGTGAAACAGAAAAAAAAAACCAAGGAGCAAAACCCAGCACTGCATACTTGAGGTTTGTTCTGTTTCTCAACTACTAGCTTGGCTACCAGTATAGCATTTATTAAAAACAGGAATCTGAAGTACCTGGTAGAGTCAGTACTTGGCTGCCAAACCATTACAATTTCCAGTTAATACAACTGTTGGGGTATAATTACGACAATGTGATAACTTCAATGCACCCCAATAATGAACTTTTTATTTCTATATGAAACAGAACAATGCAAGTACTGGTTTAAAGAGAAAAACATTCACATTTTATTTCTTTCCCAGGTCACTGTTTAGCAGATTAAAATCTAAGGATGCCAAAGATTTATTTTTTTGGGGGGTGAGGGTGAGGAAAAAAGCCCCAGAGCAGTTCCCACCTCCAGACTGAAGCAATATCAGACTGAAGTTAGCATCACTGCATAGGTTGCTACAGGTCAGGCTGCTACAAGAGAGACCTGAAACACACAACCAGTCTCACTCCTGTCCCCTGCCATCATGAGCACCTGTGCAGGGATGTGGTGAGATGACTCAGGAAGCTGATCTGGATGAATAACGAACACTTCTGTGTCAGTCTGGAGATGGGATCACCTTAAGCTGCTCTAGGAAAACCCCTACCTGTTCATGGTCATTTCTCCCTTTCAAAGTTGCATTTGCATTCATGAGGAGAGCAGCACAAAGAAAACAAGAAAAAGAAAAACAAAGGAACAGAAGAAGTGATTCCTCATAGGTCTGTTATACAAGAGCCTTTAAAAACACGAGCTATCTAAAGGCCTTTCCTGAAGGAACTGAAGGAAGTTCCAGTCCTGCGGTCCACCTCCTGAGCAGCAGGGCTACATCCTACTATAGCACTAAGAATACACAAAGGGCTGCAGCGAGCAAGACCAAAGGTGCATTTTTTCCAGCAGTTAGCCCAATATACACCTGTTCCATAAATCAGCTCTACGAGCTCAGGTACATGAGTAAAGATACAAAAGCAGGGCAAGCACACAGCCATATGTGGCAGAAATTGGGGGTGAGCATACTAAGGAACATCTTGTACTTGCCTTAGAAACCCTAACATACTACCTTGGTGTTTGATAAGCCCAAATGGACATTGCTTCCATTCACTCATCCAGGTACACCGTGAGAATTGGCTGGTGCCCACAATCTGCTTGCCAAGGAGCAGGTCTCTGTGACATTTCAATAAGGAGAAGAACCAGTGCATCTACCTCTGCTTTTCTAAACCCTTTCCTCTCTTCTCAGCACACCAGGGACACCATACATGCTACCATGCAGTAGCAGTATTGATGGGGCTGCTAGTAATGCTTTTTTTTTTAAATGGGAAAGTGAGAGAGATTTAGCACATTGTTTAAAAAAGAGCATAGTGAATGTAACACTGGCTCTGCATCCTTAACTTGAAATGTAATGCCCCTGCCTTACTTTTTCAATGGCAAACAACAGCTGTGCAACAGGTGGGAACTAATAACTTTTTCGAGCCAAGTCCACCACATTTTTCTAACTGTAAACAGATCCTGTTCTTCACAGAAACACTAACACAAGCCTTGCCACACTGATGTAACTTTCCAACCTGAGGAACTCTCGTTCTCAGTTTCCTCTCCTGCTCTCCAACAGAGGACTGTGCTCACACAGCACATAACACGGCTGGGAAGGGAAGCTGAGGAGCCGCTGGGCGGGAGCAAGCAGCGCGGCACCCATGGCAACACATGGGCGAGACAGGCCAGGGATTGAGGG